AATACTGAAAAAAAATATTCAAAACAATGCCAATACCCTAACATCTTTCAAAATAGACTGCAAACCATAATTAATCATAAGATATTGAAAAAGGACAACTCATTCTAATCAAAGGTACAGTTAACCAAGGAAGGTATTACTATGCTAAGTATAAAGCAAACACTGGCACACCATTTCATAAGAAACATTTTACCAGACTTCAAGACACAGATGAACTCAAACTCATTAACAGTAGGTGTTTTCAACAAACTAGTTAAAATGAAAATGAATCACATACTAGAACACACACACACACACACACACACATCTTAACAAGTTTAGGAAAATTGAAATAACTCAATGTATACTATATGGCTATAATGCCTTGAAGTTTAAAATTAACAGACAACAAATTTCTAGAAATCCCTTGAATTCATGCAAAATGCAATAATACATTACTGAATGATGACTGAGTGAAAGAAGAAATACATTTTTAAAAATCTTGGAATAATGGAAAATGAAAACACAACGCAACAAAATCCCAGGGACAAGTTAAAAGCAGTTCTAAGAAGGAAAGTTTCAATTCTAAGCACCCACATTTAAAAAAAAATCAGGAAGAGCTCACTTGTGAAGCAATTCCCTCACGGAATAAAATATTACATCCTGCAGGGAAGCTCTTTAAGACTCAGCATGTTAAAACAGGAGGTGGAACAACAGGATGTTCTAAGGACAGGTGACACATTCGTCCTGCAGGGAAGCTGTTGAATCTTAGAAGTAAACAACTAAATAGCTTCAGGAAGCCACCTAAACTGGTAAGTTTCACTAGGCCCCTCACTGCCCAAGCATAGTTAAGCAGCAATTGCTGCTGAGACATACTCTCAGAGGAGCTGCCTGGCCTAGAAGAGACTCAAAGTAGCGGAGATCCCTCGAAGAAACACAGACCAGGGACACCAGCTACATAGAAGAAGCAGAAATCAGCAGTTACCTAGATGAGATTCAGAGTTACCTGTATGAGACAGTCTCCAACCTACTGCTGCCTGGAAATTATGTAATGAACCTCATGTTTCCAGCTTTTGTGAACAGTAACCCATTCTGGGGTGGGCTTTTGACTCATTTCTGCTTCAGTAAATAACCTCTCAGTAAATAAATAGGTTATTCCTATGAGTAACCCCAATAAAACTCACTCAATTACCAAGTTTGTGGTATCCTCATTTTTTTTTTTTTTTTGGTGCATTTTTGTTTCCATGTCTAGAGTGACTAGATAATTGTTCTTGTTTCCCCAGGAATAGTATCACAGAACAAGCACAGAAAATTACTTAATGATGCCATTCAAGAATTTGGAAAATAAAAACAAGCCTAACTCTTAGACAGTAGATGGGGGGAAAACATAAAATGCAGAGCAGAAATTGGTCCAAATAGAAACAGAAAAAAAAATGAGTCAACAAATTTGAGAGCTGGTTCATTGAAAGAAACAAGATCAACAGACCCAATTAACCCAATTAACTGGAAGAAAGAAAGATGTGACCCAAATTAACAAAATTGGTGATACATATGGAAACATTGCAAAAAAAAAAAAAAAAAACACTAAAGAAAGTCAGGGCATGATAAAACGACACTTTAAAAACTTAATATTCCATTAAGTTAGAAATCTAAAAGAAACGGGAAATTTTCTAGATTCATCCAAATCACCCAAGTTAGACAAAGATGAGATCCCCATTCTAAGCAGACTCATACCAAACAAAAGATTAAGACAATAATTAAAGGTCTTTCAATGGAAAATGCTCAGATCCAGACTAATTCATAGCAGATATCTACCAGATTTTCAAAGAAGAACTACAACCAATACTTCTTAAATTATTTTTTTAAAAAAAAGAAAGAAAAAAAGAAGGGAGAAAAAGAAAAAGGAAGAAAGATAAAGAGCACTTCTAAACACCTCTGAATCCCATATGAATCTAATACCCAAACCAAATATAAACACAACATCAATAACAACAGAAGGAAAGAAAAGAAAGAGACACACAAACAAAGAAAACACTAGAGGCCAATACCCCTGAGGAACCCAGATGCAAAAATTCTCAGTAAAGTTCTAAGAAAAAGAATACAGGTACATATCAAAAAGATTATCTACCAATAATACTGTAGACATATGTTAGGTCCATTAAATATGATGTAATTTAATTCCAGTATGATGAAAATTTAATTCCAATGTTTCTTTGTTGTTATTATTTTTCAAGTACATTTTAATTAAAACAGAATTATATCACTTTTTAACCTTCCTTTTCTTCCCTCAAGACCCTTCAGGTATCCTACCTCCAACCTCCAACCTCTCCCAAGCCCCCAAACTCTCAAATTGATAGCCTCTTTTTCTTTTTTATTATATATATATATATATATATATATATATATATATATATATATATATATATATATCTCCACCACTATCAAGCTGGCTTTCTTGAGAACAACTCATCATTAGGAGCCTCACCTCAACTGATGCATCTACTGTTGTATCTACTACTGTTCAGCACCTATGCATAAAGCTCAGGGAACACTGAAAGAGGGAGCTGAAAATTTTAAGAGCCAGAAGCCAAGGTGAGGCAAGATTGGGAAAGTGCTTCCATAAAAATCTCAAAAATATGGTCACCTAACTAGGACCAGCTTAACAACAACAGCAGTCGATATACCAATATAGGTAGTGGAAATCTCACAAGGCTACAGACAAATACAGACAATCACCGACTTCTGAGAGATGTTCTCCAGGGGTGAGCCCTCTGATAGGTTATGTAGTCAGCTCAAAATTCAGGCATATAAACATCACTAAATGGACTCAGTAACTCTGTGTGTGTGTGTGTGTGTGTGTGTGTGTGTGTGTGTGTGTGTGTGTGTGTTTGTGTGTGTGTGTAACAAATAAATAATTACTAAGAAGTCATAAATTTGAAAGAGAACTGGGTAGACACAGAAGGAGTTAGAGGGAGAGAGAGCAAGGGATGGAAATGACATAATACAGTATTCATTTATGAAATATTAAAAATTATCACTAATTTATACTAAAAGAAAGCCTCTGATACGCAGTTAATTTTTGTTTTGTAATTGTTTTTTTTGAGGCTAGAAGATACTATGATGAGGTAACACATTTATTTGCGTTTATGGAACACAGAACAAAATGGAATAATATAAATATCAGTTAAAAATCCTTTAATTTGCTGGGCAGTGGTGGCGCACGCCTTTAACCCCAGCACTCAGGAGGCAGAGCCAGGCGGATATCTGTGAGTTCGAGGCCAGCCTAGCCCACACATCAAGATCCAGGACAAGCACCAAAACTACACAGAGAAATCTTGTCTCGAAAAAAAACAAAAAAAATCCTTTAATTCATGGACTAAGTTATTACACAGATATAGGAAGTTGAATATCACTAAAGATAAAATCAAGTTTAATTAATTAAAGAAGGCAGAAAACATTATTACATATTAGAAAACTGTTTCACTAAACATTTTCCTCCTGTTTAAATTTAACGAATTAGTGGAAGAAACTGTGAATAAAGAATTGTTAAATTCTTACAAGCCTCATCTGAATGAGAAGTTAATGAGGATGTTAATTTTTTTTCCAACATGGAGAAATGAATCTCAGCAAACAAAGAGCACCAAAACTACTCAGTGTTTCAGAAAATCTATTAAACAAGTGATACCTATTCACTAATGTTTACATCCCCTTCCATTTATTCACTCATGTGTCAACCAATGTTGAACAGCAAATATGCTTTACTTCTGCCAATGCAAGCATGGATAAGTACAAGTCTGCCTCACAAAGCTTCCGTTCTTGTGAAACAGTCTCACAAGAAACTAATGAACATTAAACAACACTGAGATTTAGACTGTGGTAAGAGCTCTGTAGTAAAACTCTGGGCAAAGTGATGAAGATACCTCACAAAACCTATTATGTTAATTTGGCCAGAAAAGATCTCTCTGAGCTACTGAGGATGCTGTGAATGTGTTGCTCTGATTGATTGATAAATAAAACGCTGATTGGCCAGCCTGGGCTACAGAGTGAATTCCAGGAGAGGCGCAAAGCTACACAGAGAAACCCTGTCTCGAAAAACCAAAAAAAAAAAACAAACAAAAAAAAAACGCTGATTGGCCAGTAGCCAGACAGGAAGTATAGTATAGGCGGGATAAGCAGAGAAGAGAATCCTGGGAACAGGAAGGCTGACTCAGGAGTCGCCAGACAGAGACAGAGGAAGCACAATGTGAAAGTACTGGTAAGCCACAAGCCACATGGCAACTTATAGATTGATAGAAATGGGTTAATTTAAGATGCCTGGGCTACAGAGTGAGTTCTAGGAAAGGTGCAAAGCTATACAGAGAAACCCTGTCTCAAAAAACAAAACAAAAAAGATATAAGAACTGGATAGCAAGAAGCCTGAGCCATTAGGCCAAACAGTTTAAATAATATAAGCGTCTGTGTGTTTATTTGGGTTGCGGGCCCAGGTGGGACTGGAGATAACTCAGCAACACTGAGCTATGTGATGTCTGTAAAGAGATGGATGGCCCACAGGGTACAGCAACATGACGCATAGCATGCCAAAATAGGGCATAGGGAGGGCAAACGCAGAGGCTGGGAGATAAAGATGGTGGCATGCAAGACACAGAATCAAGGCAGAAGGGAATCCAAGAAAAGCTTCAGAATGGTAGATGACAGACATCAGCAACCCCAGGGGGCTGTGCTAGAGGAGTGGAGTCTTGAAAGTGCATCTAGCCCTTCAACCAATTTCTTCCTTCTTGAAATGTTTTCTAAAAAGATGCCTTTTAGAAAGATCAACGGTATCCCTGGGAGGCCTGCTTTTTCCTGAAGGGTAATAGGGAGGATGTGGATCGGGGTGGGAGGGGTTGGGGGGAACCACAGACACAGGGAACTGGAAGAGTGGAAGGAGGGCAAACTGTGCTTGCGATGTATTGTATAAGAGAAGAATAAATTTGCAAAAGAGAGAGACCAAATGTGCTTACTCACATAGAAGCTCTGCTCAGCTTCCTAGGAGGAAGCCACCAACAGAGACGACTGCTGAACGAGAAGCCAGATCCAGAAATCAGGAAAAAAACAAGTAAGCGCCTGGTATTAAATGTGCTTCATATGTGTGCGGAAGTGGGGAGTGTATGGTTCCGTTGTTCCTCCTGAGCCTTAGGCATCTTAAGCTCTGTTTTCTCTGAAATCCAGTAGGTATGATCAAAGTAGTAAAAAAAAAAAAAAATTCTAATTTTCAAAGAAACTTAGTGTCACGGCGTAAATTTAAAATACAGCTGGAGAGTTTTTCTGTATACCGAGACACTGGTGGTATCTCAGTATTTCAGAACGTTTGTTGTTCTTTTTAAATTGTTTCATTTTCATCTGAACATTTGAAATCTTTCATGTGATATCCACAGCAACCACTAGAGGGAAAACTTCTACTGAAGAAAGTAATTTTAAACTGTTTACTTGTTTGATAAGCTTTAAAATTTCAAAAACAGTGATGTGCTCAAGATCAGCGACTGTGAAAAGCCTACCAGGAATTGACATGCATTTTCAAATTATTCCCAACATCTCCTAGCATTTGTATTATAATATATATTACGCAAAGGCTTTTATAGCCATGGCCTCATTTGTTTTTCAAAATGAGTGGCCAGTACAGCAGACCTTATCATACCATAGTAATAAGGAGCATACATGATTTGTATAAAATATAAATTGTTTAACCAAAGATATCTAACAGCTTCATTGCTCAGTATTACAACTGAGGCATGAGTATTTTTTTTTCAAGTGCACTGTATTTTCTATTCTGTTTAGCAGGTTTTTGTTTTCTTTTGTTTTATTGGTGGATTTTTATATATTTCTAGAACAAACAAAAAGTATTGACTGGGTGTCTCATCACATCATATATTTTTCTCAAAATCCTTTGTACATAATATACATTTGGGTAACTGCTAAGTGTCGGGATAGGAAGAATGGAGCTGTGCCCTTTCTCAGCAACACTATTGCTAACACAGAAGAACCTTGTGTTTGGGGTCACTGTAGCTTCCCAACTGCACCTGTTTCAAAGTTAGTAACCATAGGAGCGCCTGGAGCAGTTACTATGAAAAGAAGTTATTCTCTGTGATTCCTTCTCAAATATCATGGCATCATCCCATGCTGTGGACTAAATATTTATGCAGCCTCTCACTTATATGTTGATGTTTTATTTCCCATTGTGACAATAAAAGGTGCCAGGATTTTGGGATGTATATAATTAAGCCAAGAATGTGATGTGTAGGCATGACTAGAATAGGTTATCTCGGGTGAAAAACACCAGTAAAATGATTTTTCATTGTGTCTGCCACGTAGGGTGCAATGAGAAGACAACCACTCTGGAAGAGGGGAGTCACCAAGAGCCAGGCTACACTAGCCTCTTGGTCTCAGACGCCTCGTCCACAGAACTCTGAGAATGAAGCCTAGTCCACGGAACTCTGAGAATGAAGCCTAGTCCACGGAACTGTGAGAATGAAGCCTAGTCCACAGAACTCTGAGAATGAAGCCTAGTCCACAGAACTCTGAGAATGAAGCCTAGTCCACAGAACTCTGAGAATGAAGCCTAGTCCACAGAACTCTGAGAATGAAGCCTAGTCCACAGAACTCTGAGAATGAAGCCTCGTTCACGGAACTGTGAGAATGAAGCCTCATCCACGGAACTGTGAGAATGAAGCCTCGTCCACGGAACTGTGAGAATGAAGCCTCGTCCACAGAACTGTGAGAATTAGGTATCCGCTGTTTGTCACCCAGACTCTGGTTAGATTTAGCTATAAATGCTTTCAGGTGTTAACTTCCTCAGACTAATGAGGCCTTTTTGTTGTTCTTCCAACAAAGCTGCATTTGGTGAGCTACGGCTAGGAATGAGGCTCTGGAAATCTCTTCCCCACAATGAAACCCCTTGCTATACAGCTCAGGAACCAGGCAGCAGCAACTAAAGTGAGTCCCAATTCAAAATTCCACATGAATGACCCTCACATAGCTTGACAGATTTTCAAAGTAAGTACTCGGTAAAAGCAATTACTAATGGATAATATGATTACAAAGAATTTTTCTCTTTTTTTCTTTTTATTTTGCAGTACAAATCAGTTCTACATATCAGCCACGGACTCCCCTGTTCTCCCCCGTCTCGCCCCCTCACCTTCCCCCCAGCCCACCCCCCATTCCCACCTCCTCCAGGGCAAAGCCTTCCCCGAGGACTGAGATCAACCTGGTAGACTCAGTCCAGGTAGCTCTAGTCCCCTCCTCTCAGGCCGAGCCAAGCGATCCTGCATAGGCCCCAGGTTTCAAACAGCCAACTCATGCAATGAGCACAGGACCCGGTCCCACTGCCTGGATGCCTCCCAAACAGATCAAGCCAATCAACTGTCTCACCCATTCGGAGGGCCTGATCCAGTTGGGGACCCCTCAGCCATTGGTTCATAGTTCATGTGTTTCCATTCGTTTGGCTATTTGCCCCTGTGCTTTATTCTTTTTTGCTTTTCTGTATTTTCTCTTGTTTATAATGAGAAAATTAGTTTTTTTTTTTAAATAAGAAAAATGATGCTTCCTTAAAATTAAAAGTCCAGGGATGTAAATTGTTTTATAGCTCACCTTAAAAATGACATTTAAGTATGCTTGGCAAACATTTCGTATAAACATAGTTGTTTATCTTCAATTTGAGAAATGAATTCATTAGGTGCTATCAAACTGAGTGGTACCTAGCACTCCCTTTCTCTTCCTATCCAGACTTGGCCTCAGAAAGGAATGCCTTGGAACCAATAAAGACATCAGGGTGTATCTGTTAGCTGATTCTCCTAGAATCCGTCAGCAATTTGATTTTAAATGCAGGAGGAAGATTAATTAAAGGCGATAGTCCTTAACGGTAACTTCTCATTCTCCAGATTCAGAACATTCCTGGAAGAGGTGGTATTGTATACAGCTTGCTTTAAAATTATTTGATTTCCTGTATTAAGATAGTTGGATGAAATAAAAACTAGAAGACTTTTATAGGTATCTGATAAGAAAAATATCTAGAGCTTTTACAAATCTCTACACAAAATAAAATTCTTAGTATTAAAACAATATATAAGCACCAAAATGACAAATTATTTAGTTAAGAAAAGAAGGAAAAATCTTATTAAAAAAAATCTTAGAGCATACAAAGTTTATCATCAAGAAAAGCAATTTATTTTATAATACAAGGGTGGGGATTCAATATATTGTGACAAATATAGTAATGTATTAGCTTTATATAATATTTTAATATTCTACAAATGCATATACCTAATTATACTACAAGAAAAAATAGTAAAATCATATTTGTTGAAATTCTGGATATTCCAATGAGATATAGTAAGTTTTTAAATATTTATATTCATTTTAATGAGTTTATAAAAGCTAAAATAAATTACAAGTGTCCTTGACACTTAAGACAAAAAAAAATACAAACATGTAACAATATGCCCTATAAAAGAAGTAATTTTGTGATGTTAAAATTAACATGTAATACTTTATTATTTTATGTGGATTTTTAACTGGGAAAACTGAACAGAAGACAAAGCATTACCAATTATTTGTTCTCTGAATACAGAACTGAAGCTGGAGATCAAACATTACAAACAGGTGGTGATGACCATGATGTCCAAACCATGAGGCCTTAATCAGATGGGCAAAGAATATGACAGACAGAGTTGCAAGGGAAATGGCCCTTTTCTGGAATGTACCTTTACTCTTCTATTAACTAATTAACTAACTTCCTGAAGTACCAATCCTTAATTAGAAAGGGGCAGATACCACCTACCTACTTTGAAAGGTTGTTGAAATGATGAATGCATTGGAAACATCTAAAATATACTGTGTGTGGTAACTTTCATTTTTAATACCAGCATTTAAGAGACGAAGACAGGAGGAAACAAATAAACTGACGACAACTATGAATTCATTACAGGTATTTTCTAGGGGAAAAAAAGTACCCAGTTTCACTAATAAAACATGTACCTTTATGTAAATCAAGGTTTACCTGAGACAAATTATTAAAATACTTCTTAATATTAGACTTCAATCATTGGAGCTAAAATATCATGAAAGCAAATTTTTAAGTCAAAGGGAATATAATCCTTAAGGAGCTATGAGGAGGTTTGCTTCTGCATATTTGTTGTTAGTACAATAAAGTTAGATGACAGGAATCCAAGCATCGGGGCTCTGAAAGCATAATGGATTCCCACAGATGACTTTAGCATAAGGCAATGGATGCAAAATGGATGCCCCCTGAGTGGAGGTGACATTCGATTATTTCCTTAGCTATTCATTGTGACAAAGGAGCTGAGGCTACACAGTTGCCTCTGCCTTTTCAGTATAATAATGGTTCTAAGCAAAAAATTAAAACTCTTCAATCCAAGGACCATGCAACTAGAAATATTAGGAAGTATTAATCACTTCACACATTCCACAGATATTTTTCTTGCACACAAATATTTGTATAAGTAGCTTCCCAGCAACCATGAGATCATGTATTAAATAGATAAGTAGCAGGGTGTGGTAACTTGCATTTATAATACCAGCATTTAAGAGACGAAGACAGGAGGAATTTCTTGAGTTTGGATTGAGCCTGGGTTATATGGTGAGTTCAAAACTAGCTTGGGCTAGGAGAGGGAAGGCAGATAAACACTAAGGATATTTGAAAAAGCCATAAATAATCATGTTAATTTATATTTACCTAAAATTACATATAATGTGTATAAGCGTTTATGTATACATATGTATATAGTTTAAAGAAAGCTATGCCTCTTGGGGGTGATAATGCTTTCCCCAATAGCCATAGATTATCTTACAAAAACCATACTATTAGGCAAGAGAAATTTTCTTTCAAATTGTTGGTGGGGGAGTCCAAGAGAATCCCAAACAATATGGGCTATTGTGTGTTTTCCTTGATTGCCTCCTAGAAATTGAAGTTAAGTCACTATTACTGAAGACACCATGCACACTGGACAAAGGACTTAGAAAAATATAGCTGGATTTCACCTAAAAGTCTAAAAGTCCCCAGCCTGAGGACTAGTTTCTAGCACGGGAGGGTGTTATGCAAGCTGCTAAGGGAGAGAAGCAATCAGTAGTCCCAGCTGGCTGTAATACATGTGAACCACAACAATGTCCAGAACTGAAAGACACGCCTAAAACTGCAATGATACGTGTATCTTGATGATAATTGTGGTGGTTTGAAAGAAAGAAAAAGGCCCCCAAAGGGAATGGCACTCTTAGGAGGTGTAGCCTTAATGGAGTAGGTACGGTCTTGTTGAAGGAAATGTGTCACTGTGGAGACAGGCTTTGAGGTCTCACACACTGCCCAATATGACACACACTTCCTGTTGTCTGCCTATCAAGATGTTGGACTCTCAGCTGCAGCATCATGTCTGCCTGCACACCACCATGTCACACCATGATGGTAATGAACTAAACATCTGAAAATGTAAGCTACCCCAAATAAATGTTCTCCTTTATAAGAGATGCTGTGGTCATGGTGTTTCTTCACAACAATAGAAACCTAAGACAGTAACCAACAGCTATCTAATTTGATTTAAGGGTTCCTAACAGGAGGGAAATCATGCCTGGTACTGGAAACCTGTCCCACCACTGGTGGCTGGTGAGGTTACATGTCTAGAGGAAAACCTTACCACTCCAACTTTACGTAAGTATCATACCTGTGTTATAAATACTTATCTTTCATTTCTTTACTGATATTAGATTTTTTTCTCATATATAATGATGACAGTTTCACCTCACTCTACTGCTCCAAAACCCGAAACCATAATTTATATGCAAAGGACCTATAGGGCAAAAAGTAAAATCAATATATTTTTATTTTATTTTATTTATTATTCATTTATTAATTAAAATAAATAAATTTATTTAATAAATAAAATACAAATTTTTTAAAAGTCCTAACACAACATCATCTTGTCTTTAAACCCACAATTAAGGGTAGCTCTTATCTCTCATCAAAGAAACTTCTTTTTGTAGTAGAGGGGGGGCATTATAGAAAGCCACAACTGGTCCAAAATGTAAAGAACTGATCTTGGAACACTCACCCCCACCTGATACAGCTACAGCAGAACCTCAAACACAAGGTTCAGGGAACATCATGAAAGAAGGGTCAGAAAGATTGGAAGAGTCAGAGAACCAGAAAATCTGTTTTGAGATTGCACCTCCTAGAAAGGGCACAGAAGCTTCACACATGGCATCATAACAATATGGCTGCCTAAACAAGATCTGAAGAAATATACCACCAATAGCCATGCTAACATATAACATACAGCCCAGCCACAGACAAAGAATTAAGCCATGAAGGAATGCTAAGAGCAAGATTGGGAGAAACATTCTTCTCTTGGGTTGACCTCCCTAATTGGTTATCCAATACCAAGTAGTCAGCCCTGAAAATGTACATAAATAAGCAACTCTAAAAGGACTCAACAGGTTTATTTATATACTTATACACATGTATGCATGTGGTTGCTCTTCCACAGGACATGGGTTCAATTTCCAGCACTCATATGGTTCCTCAGAGCTATCTATAACTCTGATGCCCTCTCCTGACTTTTATGGGTAGCAGACATACAAGTGGGGCATAGACACACATGCAAGCAAAACATGAATATACACAAAAGAAAAATTTTAATTAGTAATATATAAATATAAATAAATGACCCGCCATTTTGTTCACTAGTAAGTGCAATACTGCTATTGTATGATGGGCAAAGGGCTAGAGAGATGGCTCAAATGTTAAGAGCACTGGCTGATCTTTCAGAGGACCTAGGTTCAGTTCTCAGAGCAGTTCACAGACATGTGTAACTCCAGTCCCAGTGAATCTACTACATAATGGACAAAGAGTGAATAAATCACCTTGTTACAAGACTTGCATAACAGGATGATTCTGATCCCCCCCCCCCAAGAATAGAGCATGCTATCTATAATCCTAAATTGTGTAAAATAAAAGGGCTATCAAAAGTAGACAAATTTCTTCTACATTAAAATAGTTCCAGGACTGTAGTTTTTCAGTGACAAACCTCTATATATATATACTCTGTTGAAATTCATGACAATTCCCACAGAGAAACAGTCTCAAGAAGCAGTAATCTGTGCAATAAATGAAAATGACTCAGGAGAAAGCAATTCCAGAAACCTAAATTATATCTATTTTAAGATATGTAGCATGAAGGGTTAGGAGTATGCAGCCATTATCTGCAAAGCTGTCTATGCCAGATATTTCCCTTAACTCTCATTATTCTTAGTTGATATTGTATCATTGTTTTTTTTTTTTTTTATTATGATGCACTGTACAGCTTTGAGGCAAATGGGACACATGGAAGACTTGTACTGTATATTCTACCACAGTGACTGTTAAAATGCAATTCAAAGGTTAACCCAGTTGTCTTTTCAAACATTATTTAACAGTCATCATAAACACTGGCAACCTAGATCTTTTGATGATATAAATTTGTCCAGTTGTTTCCTTAGATCATTCTTCTCTCACTCAGATACACCTTGCTTTTCCTAAAGAGGGATGTCTAGGGCTGTCCTAGCTAATTAGACAGATAATAGACATATGGAGCTGTTTAAATTAGAAACAAAATAGAATGGAATTTCAAATGCATTTTTGGTCCCACTGTCCACCTTTGAAGTATTTAAGTGTTTAATGCCTACTTTAGACCCAGACTCTGATAATGAGCAGAAGAAATATAGGATTTTTTTTTTAATCAGCTCACAAAGTTCTCCTGGGCAGCACTGTTCTAACAGTTACATACGTAGTTCATGTCGCTGAGTAACCTCACTGCAAACCATGGCTCAAACACTCCCTAACTATAGAAGCTTAAGCAGACTTCATCTATTCTTATCACAAGTTCCTCATTTGTAAGGGTAATGGAACAAAAACCAAATGAAATTAAAATGTATAAGGAGCATGCAGACTAATGACTAGCAATCAGTAAAGCCATTCTAAGTGTGACTGATTGTTGACTTTACCAGAAGAGACAATGAAAGTCCTAGAAAGACCGAGAGATTATCAAATCTGAGATGGTAAGTTGAGTCATCCCTAAAAAGAGGTAGGGACATAACTTGTCTTCCTTTCTTCAAGTCAGGAAAGATTGGCTGTATCCTTCTATCTTCTGGGACCATTGTCATTCCACAAATTAGTTCCTAAACACAGACCTAGCCTTTGTAGTCCAACAGTCTTCGAATCACCATTGCTTAGAGAACTTCTTATCCCTATATTTCTTTAAGACTTAAAACTTATTTGAACTTGTTATTTTCATTTTACTAGGAAAAGAGCAACACATTCCTGGCTGTCTGACAGCAAACAGCAGAATCTTCTAGTATCTACAAAAAGAGAGATAAGGACTGAAGTCAATTATGAGGCGTGCTGAGAAAGTGCTTTAGAAGTTAAGAGGGCCTGAAAGTGTTTGAGTGAAGAGAGCACAAGGGAACAGTCACTAAACAGATTCATCACCCTACATTTGAGAATCTGAGAGGAATTCCACACCCTTTCTTAAGAAAGACTCTGAGAGGTAAAGTTAAATCACCCTTTGTTTCAAAACACAATGCCGGGAAGTTAAATGAATACCTTGAATTTTACCATGACTAGACAAAGCCTACATTTGACATCTGTACTTTTCAGACAAAAGCTGGGAATGACCCTTCCACTTATATCAATCAGATGAAAACTTTTACTCTTCATGGAGGCCAGAGGAGAAGGGAAATACATTTAGCTCATTTGAAGAAGTAAATAATTTTACTGGCTTGGGTCCTTTGCTTTTCTCAAACTATTCCATGAAAATAGAGAACATATTTTAAAAATTACAAAATGATAGCCTTATGGAACCAATAGACCAAGTTTTAAATCCCAACTGCACAATTTACTAGCTCTTAACTTGAAACAAAAGGAGTAACAATAATAGTAGCAGTAAATTCTTGGAATTTTTAAAAAATGTTTAAGTAAATGACTATATCAAGAAATAAAAACCATGTCTTTGTACATGTGCTGAAATGCAAAGTTTGCTATAATATGTTTTGGTCAGCACAGAGGTAAGGTAAAATCTTCTCATGCATATTTTATTTTGAAATTTTCAACTTAGAAAAAAAAACTGTATTGAATATATAACCTACCTCTGGTTTGCATCATTATTAAAGCATCTGGTCCTGCTCTTGACCAGTCATAAGGAAGTGCTTTGTACCAAGCAATTGTTAAGATGTGGAATGAAAAACCCTGCAACTTTGTAACAATAACAACAGCAAAAATGCTTAGTAAAAGAAAAAATACTGAAGAACCTGTTTCCATTAGCAAGATGAGAAACCTACTATTCCTGGAAGTCCACCCTTTAATATCAGACTTCTGGGGAGTTTGGATGGACCCATACAGGCATGTGCTAGGCTTGGGTGACTTCTAATGTGTCCCTTTTCTAGTTCTGCCCTTGGTGTCACTTAACTCAGCTTCCGGGGGAACATTTTCATCTGGAAAACTGACAAATGTGTCCTCTCCTCCCATTTCAGCATTTCTCAGAGACTGATTGACAAGTATCACATCCATTGTATTTATATTAAATGCTCCACAAAATGTCACTAAATGAGATGTCATCAAACTGAGTGAACATTTATCTTGCAAAATCTAATGTCTTTCTCTCCTTAGTATAAGGATATTTATGATATTGGTCTGCAAGTTTTAAAACTTTCTAGTTTTTGAAGAAATATTTGGGAAATTTCTTTCTGATAGACCAAGAAGATACATGCTCTAGCATGTATTATTTGTCTTTTGGGAAATGGGCCTTCATTTTTGAAGTTATAAAAACCAGAGGTCATTTATAATCCACTAAAAATAAATATAGAACTTGATATATGTTCTGCTTAAGAATTTTCACACAATTTTACCTTATTGCTCTGATTTTTCTGTAGCTCAAATTCCTGTCATTTTAAGAACCTTAGCTTTGTATTTGTTCATATTTTAGGATTTATATATACATATATTACTAAACTTTTATCCTAATTTAAATGATATTAATCTGCTAAAACTATACTCTGTCCAATTCTATTTCTTGATCACATACAAATGTTTAATTACTTAGGCATAACTTTAAATAAAGTTTTAAATCAGTTGAAGTTTACTCAGAAGGTTTCAGTCAGCCAAACTCAGTTAAAAGGTACATAAGAAACTGCAGGAATCCTTCTTCTGATCTTAAGTTTTCAATGTTGGTTTCAACTAGGCACCATGTTCCTAAAAATAGTTAAGTAATTAATCCAAACTATTTTTCAAGAAAGCAAAACATGTACTTACGGGAAAAAGAAAAAGGACCATTTTACAGAAGGAGCCATGTGATGCTATTTGTTATTTTCTAAAATGAGCATCAAAATGAAATAAATCATATAATCTACTGTACGTGTAAGTGAGAATTATTTCACAATAGTTTTAGTGGGGAGAATATACAGAAATTACAATGCCAACTACAGAAATTATAGCTCTTAATAAAAATTAACCCTATTAAAATACAGATAATCTTTAAGTTAGAGAAGTTCTGATCCACTCATTATTAAGGTGAAAACATCATAAATCAAGATTCATTTAAGAAATCTAACCTATCAAATATCCTAGCTCACTCATTCAAACACTGTGAGTAAAAAGGCAGTACATCACTGAGTTTGACATCACAGTTGTCTGACCAGGAACTGCAGTTCTTTTAGGAAAAGTCAGAGTTCAGAGTGTGGTTTCTACTCACTGAGATGGCAGGTTACACAACTACTCTGGTGTCCGGTGTCTAAAGAAAAGACATGGGCAAGTACAATTTCTGTTTTGGCTGATTCCATGGTGATATGAATAGTAAGACCATTTTATTTGTTATTCCTTAAAGAATAGGAAAAAATAAGGCCGGGCAGTGGTGGCGCATGCCTTTAATCCCAACACTCGGGTGGCAGAGGCAGGCGGATCTCTGTGAGTTCGAGGCCAGCCTGGTCTCCAAAGCGAGTTCCAGGAAAGGCGCAAAGCTACACAGAGAAACCCTGTCTCAAAAAAAACAAAACAAAACAAAAAAATAGGAAAAAATAATAAGTACAAAACTATGAAAACAGCTCCCTAGTAACTTCTGAATGCCAACTCTACATCTTTGATAAGGACAAATAAAGTCTGTAACACATCTCAGAACATGCCAATAACTGAAAATTCCCACGCTGCACTTAGCAGTCAATCCTGTAGAACACATGACAATCTTGTACACACAAATACTGAAACTGTCACCAAAGTCTGTTTGTGGGGAAATTTCTTCATAATGCCACATTTGTAAGTGGGTAGAAGGGTGATTAAGGGATCCAAAGGCATCTAGAAGACCAATATGTGAAATAACTAGTGTGAAACTCTAGTTCAAAGCACAATTGAGTTCAACAGGTCTATTCTATAATTACAAGTTTGAAAAATAAATACTGTGAAGCAGGAGATGTAGGGCATTTGCTAACATGTGCAGAACCATGAGTTTAATTCCTAATATTATAAAATGAGTAAATAATAAATGCTATAAATATTACAAAATAAGTCAAGAAATGACCACGGTGAAATGTAATTTTTATAAAGTTCCTAAAGCACAGGGTGAATCAAAACAATTGTTTTGAAGGATGAAGAGATATCTCAGTGGTTAAGAGTGCTGCTCATTCAGAGGACCAAGGTTTGATTCCCACCACCCACATTGGATGCTTCCCTCCAGTTTCAGGAGATATGATATCTTCTTCTGAGCTACACAAGTATGGCGCTTATATGCCCAAAACCACACTCCCCATACACATTCATATGATTAAAAATTAAAACTAATAAGAGCTTTGAATAAAATTTTGAAGAGACATGAATAAAAATATAAAATTCCTTTAAACTCAATCTTGTCTGGAACAACCAAAGGTTTGTGAGGAAGTACACTACTTATGATAATCATAACTGATTGAAAAAAAATTATGTATGTAAGTGTCTTTTCTTTCTTTCTTTTTTTTGTTGTTTGTTTGTTTGTTTTTCCAGACAGGGTTTCTCTGTGTAGTTTTGGTGCCTATCCTGGATCTCACTCTGTAGCCCAGGCTGGCCTTGAACTCATGGAGATCCTCCTGCCTCTGCCTCCCAAGTGCTGGGATTAAAGGCATGTGCCACCACCGCCCGGCGTAAGTGTCTTTTCTGTAATAGCCATAAGAATATTGAAGTCAATAACAAACACAATTCTGTTAAATCTTGTTATTGGAGAAAAATATAAACAATAAAATTTTTTATGATATTAAATAAAATTTCCAGATTTATAAGATATAAAGGAGTAGATTAAATGCATATGCTAACTCTCTTAAAAACACTAAAGCAATTTATCTGCCATGTGTTGCCCAACACTTAAAGCTAGCAGTCATAAAAACAACCTAACTTACATGTCTACCTTTATAACATTAATACAACCACAATCTTAGTTGGTCACCAATATTTTCATAGTGTTTCAGAGTAAATGGGAATTTTAGAGCATGATACAGCTTTAAATTTCCTATAAAAAGTTAGTTGGCCCAAACAAAATATTGGAATGGTACCATTCACCTCAAAATTCTAAATGCTAACCAATAAAGAAAAAAAAAAAAAACAGGGAAAATGTTCCAAGTTTAGGAAACGAGCATTCATTCAGAAGCAGGGCTTTTGTTCTACCATGGAGCATTAGGTTATAAACTATAATTATATTTGAAATGTATTTTCAAAGCTACTGCTGGTGAAAGCCATAAAGCAATTTTCAAAATCTACTTTTAAATTTGTTTTCAGTGTAGCATAGAAAAAAATGACTCAAAATGTAGTCTAAAGAGCTATTACTCTTCCTTCTACTTTGACCAGAAAAATAAATTTCCACAGATCCCTGGGGATTTCTGGTCATTGTGAATATATTAGCAGTCCATTACCCCACATCCAGATCATATCTTGAAATGAACTATGTGGTATCTGCCAACATCTGTAGGTCCACTTTTGCCACAGTGCCAATGCTCCCAAAAGGAGACATGGTTTACAGTGAAGGAAATTTTGATTTCATCTGACAATCACAGTTTCTTGCTGGGGTCCTTACAAAAAGCTATTCTAATTCCATGTCAAACAAGAGAACCAAGATTTCTTGTTCTCATATGGAGACTGAATTCCACATGCATACAAATGTAATAGATCACTGAAGAGTATAATTAGTGTCTGAATACATAATAAACTTGATTAGAATAACAACTTTTAAAATAAAAGAGTCTTCTGTAATGTACTGTCAAAAACACTCTCTAGTTGTTACACAGGGTAGATGGAAGAAAATTCAATCCTTCTACAAAAAATGTTCAAGAAACGTGACTGAAATAAAAGCCAGAATAAATGAGTGAATGTTTCAGTCTGAGAAATGATAGATGTTTTATGTCATTTGACATAAATGTCAATGACAGAATATATATATATATATATATATATATATATATATATATATATATATATGCTTATTCTGACATACAACACATAAATATATAAAATTTAAGCCTATATTCAAATATAAAAATGACTAATTAAAAGAAATGCTGAAAATGAGTGTATAAAATGTTAAAAAAGAAAGACAAAAAACTGTGAAAGTAAGTTCTTTAAAATGATTGGCATTTCTGTGCCAATTGATTTCATTTGCTTTTGGTTATATACTCAGCAATGGATCATGTAGTACTTCCACATTTATTTTATTTTAGCAAAAGATGTACTGTTTTTCATAATGACTATACTATTTTGCATTTCTACCAACAGTGTATTAAATTTTTCATTTCTCCACAGCTTTGCCAAATTTATATTTTGTTTTTTCAATAATGTATTCTAACCAGAATGAGATGATTTCATAGTTTGTTGTACAGAAAGTGAGTATAAGCAATAATATTGTACTGTATGATTTAAGATAGTGAAAACAAAGAATTTTAAGACTTCTCATTATTAAGAAATGATGAATGTTTGAGATTATCAGTAACTTCAGTTCAGCTGATTAATGCACAGTGTGCAGATGTACTTAAAGATATATGATGATTATATTTTTTAAAATATTGTAAAGATGAAGCTAGGAAATCATACAATTTACCAAAGTTGTCTACCACCATATTTTATAAACAATGTTTTATTCTTCATAGTACATTGTTTAATATTCTGTGTCTGGTAAGAACTCACAAAACAGCTGTTTGAGATGTTGAAAAAATTTACATGCTTGCTATTGACAAAACTGTAATTTCTCTAAAAAATTTTCTGTACTCACAAATGTACAAACCCCTACATATTTATTACATCAGTAACTAGAGCATTCTAAGAGGAAAATGCACATGCCATATTATTTTTAAAACTCTATATCTTAGTTGCTTATAGTTCTTTGCTGAAGAAATAGTGCTCCCCAAGCCCAGTTGGTTATCTAGTGCCAAGTGGTTATCCTTCAGCGCTAAAATCATGTATATACAAGAATATATTATGCTCTGGCTGGTTGGTGGTGCATGTCTGTAATCCCAGCATTCCAGCACTAGGGAGGCAGAGGTAGGCAGATCTTTGCGAGTTTGAGGCCAGCTTGATCTACAGAGCAAGTTCTAGAACAGCCAAGGCTACACAGAAATACCCTGTCTCAAAAAAGAAGCAAAGCAAAACAAATACAACAAAATCACATTTTGCAGACCAAGCAGGATTCTAGCTATCTATCTATTTGTCTATCAGAAGAAGAAGAAGAAGAAGAAGAAGAAGAAGAAGAAGAAGAAGAAGAAGAAGAAGAAGAAGAAGAAGAAGAAGAAGAGATGCAGAGGCCAAGCATTTGAGATCATACAAGGACAAGGTGGTACACGGGAGGACTTGGATAGAGGAAAGGGAAATGAGAAAATGGTACAATTATATTTTAATTTCATAAATAATTAAAAATATAGCGCCGGGCGGTGGTGGCGCACGCCTTTAATCCCAGCACTCGGGAGGCAGAGCCAGGCGGATCTCTGTGAGTTCGAGGCCAGCCTGGTCTCCAAAGCGAGTTCCAGGAAAGGCGCAAAGCTACACAGAGAAACCCTGTCTCGAAAAACCAAAAAAAAAAAAAAAAAAAAAATATATATATATACCAAAAAACATATCTGCAAGCTCGATAAAATAGAACAATTTCTTAAAATGTATAATCTACTAAAAACTCACATGTAAGGAAAACCTGATAATCTAAGTAGATCTACACTATGGACTGGATGTTTATATGTTATAAAAACTCATATGTAAAAACTCATATGTCCAAAATCTAATGATAATATTGTATGAGACACTTTGGAAGAGAGTTTGCCAGATCCTATCGAGTTGAAGACATTCTTAACAGAGGTCTAGCAAATATGCTCCTTGGTGTTTATCAACAAGAATTAGAAAGCCATGTCTATATAAA